CTTAAAGTCGATGTTTCCGCGACGGGCAGCTACCATTAGCACCACTGGTCAAGGGGTGACACCCGAAGGGGGTGTAATAAATCTGGGTTGTTTGAGAAAAGAAAATCTTGACTAATCAGATTCTTTTCGAGAAACAGCAGCTACCAATATATAGATTGTATGACATTGATAATGATAAGGGCAGAGTTCCGAAAGTGACTTTTCAAATTTTTATCCTAAGACTGTACTAGTAGTACACACTGCAGCTTTGAGAAATTGCTTTCAATTGTTATTGTTCATGAAGATTACGTATATGTTGAGTCAGGAGTAGTGAATTGAGTTTTTAATTACATTTGTATATGTTTGCACCGCCGGCGTTATTGTAGACAGCGGGTGATGTCAATACGAATCAATTGTAAATAACATTTCTTTAATTGAAAAACAGTATGTACCTGTATATAAGTTTATACCATAATAAAGATCACCAACATCTATGGCGCAGTTAATTATTCTTAATAAGAGTTCTGGGTTGCGACTATGTAACTCAATAATAGTGTTCCACGTATTCACCTACTGGTCATCTTCCACTGCAGTGGCGTCTTTTCAGGTCTATAGGTCAACAATTCGCGAGATCGAAATTATTTGTGGAAATGTCTAAAATTATACCTTTAACTTATTTTATCTTAACTTTTCTTGCTTCAACAATGACGTCCAAAGGTGAATCCTCAAGCTTGCGTGTAAATAATCGTTCCACACGATATCAAGGTAAGAAAGGAGAAATAAACATGCGCTTCGCTCTATTTTGCTATTTTACCTAGAGTTAAGGTGTATTGTAAAAAAGATTCGAGGTGAATGTACCAAACAWGAGACGTGTACAAAAGCGAYGATAATCAGCACGTTGAAYACTTATCATAAACTAAAACTCGAGAAACACGAGCGAAACAAGAATTCGGTTGGGCACGATACTTCGAAGTGCTGAATCATGCTGTGCACACCAAACGCCAAACATCCAGCTAGCGATAACTCTTGAATTCAACAGTTCTAAACAAAAATATGGTTCGTTGTGAGGGCTGGAAAAAGTCAGCGATAGTTTCCTTAGCAAAATTTATGATATGTTGAAATACCTATACAGTTTTTTTTAACTGAATGGTTCATAAACAGCGTTGATATCCTCACCATGCTATTTTAATTGTTGTACTAAGAAAGTAGAGGCAAAGGCGGGCGATGAACTGTTCATTGATACTCGACCCGCTTTATCATCATTTCTTTCAACTTCATTTAGAAAATCTACATTTGATGAAAGCACATGAAGTTGACGACGGAACCAAAGCAGTGCTCATCTCCATGGCAGGGATTGCAGCATTGTCATCAATTGTCAGCAACAGCATCATCGTCCACAGTGTTCGAGTCAACCAACACATGCACACAACAACCAACTACTTCATCGTCAACATGGCGTGTGCTGATATCTTTCTTGTTCTGTTCAACTGTCCTTATAACATATATTATAACATCAAATGGTTTGYTTGGWTCCCAGGGCGCGTCGGGCAGATCACTTGCATTCTTTCTACTTTCACCCAGTTCACATTAGGAGCGGCTTGTTCAACATTTAGTCTTGTGGTGATATCGTTTGATAGATTGATGGCAGTGTATCGTCCTCTCAAGTACAAAAGTTACCGTCCATCGACYAAATACATTATAATACTAACATGGTTAGTCTCACTTGGATTAGCATCAACATTGGTTCTTAATACGCATTCGATCTTGGTCACTTTGTCAAACCATGAGGCACTATGCATMCCAAAGAACTCGTCTACATCTATTATTATTATAATGATTTGCAGCATTCTGGTACCACTTACTGTCGTCATCATACTCTGCTTTGCGATTGGCTACAAGGTTTGGAAGAGAAAAGTCCCCGGAGAAGGTGGACAACAGGCTGCTGACAGGACATGTAGGAAAGTAACCTACATGATAATATCAGTTGTTCTGGCATTTATTGTTGCGTGGGCTCCAGTTTTTACCAATGGTATTCTCTTTTATTATATCAAATCTCATAGCGTGTTAGTTGTTGGAATTCTGTGGCCTCTTACATGCTCATTTATGTATCTTAACGGCTCATTTAACTTTGCTATCTACTATATCTTTAGCGAAAACTATCGTAGTGCATTCAGGGGTTTGTTTAACAGCTTAAAGTCGATGTTTCCGCGACGGGCAGCTATCATTAGCACGACTGGTCAAGGGGTGACACCCGAAGGGGGTGTAATAAATCTGGGTTGTTTGAGAAAAGAAAATCTTGACTAATCAGATTCTTTTCAAGGAACAACAGCTTCCAAGATTTAGATTGTATGCCTTGATAATGATAAGGGCAGAGTTCCGAAAATGACTTTTCAAATTTTTATCCTAAGACTGTACTAGTAGTACACACTGCAGCTTTGAGAAATTGCTTTCAATTGTTATTGTTCATGAAGATTACGTATATGTTGAGTCAGGAGTAGTGAATTGAGTTTTTAATTACATTTAGTTAACCGAGTATGTTTGCACCGGCGTCATTGTAGAAAGCGGGTGATGTCCATACGAATCAATTGTAAATACCATTTCTTTAATTGAAAAACAGTATGTACCTCTATATAAGTGTATACCATAATAAAGATCACCAACATCTATGGCGCAGTTAATTATTTGTAATAAGTGTTCTGGTTTACAACTATGTGACACAGAAAATAATGTTCCACGTATTCACCTACTGGTCATTTTCCACTGCACGGTGTCTTTTCAGTTCTATAGCTAAACACTTCGCAAGATCGAGATTTTTTATAGAAATGTCTAAAATTATACCTTTATTCTTTCTTCTTTGAAGAAGAATTTTCAATTTTGCTCTTCTGGAGCTGTGGCAGGACAAACGGTACGAAGCTCTGAGAATTTCTTTCAAAAGTGTAAGGCAGAGATTTTTGTTTTGTGCACTTTGTATAATTTTAAATTCAAATAATGTACTTGTTCAGTCATCTCGACTAAGATCTGGGACCTGAAGAAATGTTACGGCGATACCGTAATGCGGATTGTTAATAGACTCAATTTGTCTCTATCCAGTTACTTGATTGGCCATGRTTATAGCAGGCTGGTCCGCCTTGCGTATAGTGCGGCGTTTTTGTCATATTGAATCATTATATACATTCAGTGTACTATATTAGTATCCAATTGTCATACTGTCTAATGAAAACAAGAGCTTAGTGTTTACTAGCGTATAAGCTCAATAAYCATTTCACAGCCCTGTCAAAACCACTTTATTAAATAAATCTTGGTGTCGAAAGTTGGGATTATTAAAAAACTTATCATTATTTCAGGTGGTGAGTTGAGTCATAATCAATTGCAATTTCGGAAATTGAAACCCATGTGTTCCTAAACAAAATTGTATGTTTTAATAAAAAATCTTCCACGCCCACGTTGTAATAAATTCATCTTTGTCAAATGTTTTTCTTTGATGAGTTCCTTGCAGAAAATTCATTGGCGAATTGCCCGGCTTCGACGTGCCCTTCTGTTTTCACTGAACCCCTTGTCTTTGAACTGTCTTATAATTATTATCGGAAATTGTTGGACTTCGCAGCTTGTATGCCTTGCGCATGATACCAAAAGAGAAAATGAAAGAGTTTGTTTTTATTATTTTCGCYTTGGTTGCTTCATTTACGTCCAGAGTAGAGTCACAAACCTCGCAGATGAAAAATCATACCGGACTGTATCTTGGTAAGGAATGATCAATCTTAATCACTCGTATAAGAATGGAAGAATATATTTAGCAAATTTATTATATTTTCTCGTGGCATGATCTCTTATCTACAACGGTTGGCGTCATTGAGTGAATAAATAACAATTTTGATCATGAGATGAAACGACATTCGAGGTTTTTCTACGCTCACTGGTGAGAGATGTTTTCAACACTTGAAGAAAAAATACGTATCTCCACGCGCACATGTAATCGATAAAAAAACGTGAATTTTTACCATAGTATCGTTTATATATGTTAACTATAAATTGTGTACATCGTAAGTGATTATTACGCAGTAACAATTGTGTTAAAAAGGTTTATTACATCGGAAATGACAATTAGCGTGTAACAACGTTTATATATTATAAACTTTGTCCATGAGAAATGATAACAAGGCTCAAAACATGAATAAAATTTTTAACCTCTCTTATGAACCCCTATCATAATAGTAGAATTTATTTTCATCTATAGACTATGGAAAATTTCTCAAGGAACACAACGTAGACATCTGGACCAAAGCAGTTCTCATTTTCTTGGTTTTGATTGCACTTCTGACGGCCATTTTTAGCAACAGCCTCATTATCCACAGTGTTAGAGTCAACCGACACATGCACACGACCATCAACCACTTCATCGTCAACATGGCCTGTGCTGATATTCTTCTTACTTTGGCCAGCAGTCCTTTTGTCATCAGGTTTAATATTGTGCATTTTGCCTGGATCCCAGGTCGGTTGGGGAGCATCACTTGTGTTGGGTACGCGCTTTTACAACTCATAATATCGATTTGTTCATGCTTCAGTCTTGTRGTGATATCGYTTGATAGATTTATGGCAGTATGTCTCCCTCTAAAGTACAATCGCCGTCGCCCAAAAAGCAAATATCTTATATTGCTAACATGGATACTATCAATTGGCTTGGGATCAACATTCTTCGAAGGAGCAGAGTTGGTGACTTTGCCTAGTCAATCCAAATCATATTGCATCCCTAAGAGCGGAAGTGAAACTTCAAAAGCATCGATTGTTTGTATTCTAGTTCCAATTGCTGTCGTCATCATACTCTGCTTTGCGACAGGATACAAGGTKTKGAAGAGAAAAGTCCCCGGAGAAGGTGGACAACAGGCTGCTAATAGGACATCTAGGAAAGTAACCTACATGATAATATCAGTTGTTTTGGCTTTTATTATAGCATGGACTCCTACATCTCTCGTTGCCCTTCTTTTCAATCAAGAGCCCAGTGTGTTTGTTGTTATTTATCCTATTGCTTATTCATTCATATATCTCAACGGCTTATTTAACRTTGCTATCTACTATATCTTCAGTGAAAACTATCGTAGTGCWTTMARAGGTTTSTWCAGCAAAKTACGGCAAATGTTTCCACAACGGGCAACCACCATTAGCAATAATGATCATGGGCTATCGCTGGAACAGGGCGTAGTGAATCTGGTTGCTTTGACACCAATGAATATTGCCTGATGTATATAGAGTTGTTGTTATAATTATGCCTATGAATACTGCTATAAAAGAGACTTTTCTTTTTTAATTGTTATTGCCTAGCTTTACAACTTAATGGCACAATTCTTAGAGGAGTGCCTGATGTGATCAAACTCGAATCAGTTGGTTATCAAAAAGTATTATCTGAAGCAGATGGCATATATTTCACGATCAATCTAATGTAAATAACATCAATTCGGCGGAAATTAAAAACATGGTGTGCTGCTATATAAAGGAGTATATCTTAATAAAATATTGAGGATTCCGTAATTGAACTTATTCGTAATGATTTTTTTTCTGTGATGGGGTCCTTTCRATAAATATTTGGCGAATTTCCATCCGTGTTCCTAAAGTCATTTCTTTCCACTTTGGAAAACTGTATGAATTCATAGATTCTTTTTGGTGATGTGGAAAATAGCAATGAAAGCGTTTGCTTTTGCTATTTTGGTGTTGTTTTCTTCATTAATCACATCCAAAGGAGAGTTCCATAGTTCGCGGGTAAACAATCGTAGCGTACAACAGCATGGTAAGGAAAAAAACAGAGAGGCTATAACACTCTTACTGCATTTTAATTTACCAACATGATTAACAAAATATACACTGAACGGAAGATTTGCTGTGTCTCAGAATAGCCTCTTAAGATAAGATAACCCAAAGATTTTAAAATACAGTTTATGGCATTTTTGTTTCAAAACAAACCTTGGCCCGGTTCCACGAAAGTCAGTCAAATCGCTTTACTGAAACAAACACTTTAATGAACCCCTTAACAACATTCTTTTCACGTAGATCATGGAAAACTCATTTGTCTTTCTTTTGATCTAGAGCATGGACATTTGATGAGAGAGCACGAAGTAGACAGCCTGACAAAAGTGGTGATCCTTTGCCTTGCATCGATTTCAATATTGTCTTCCCTTGTCAGTAACATCATCATCATCCACAGTGTTCGAGTCAAACAACACATGCACACAACAACCAACTACTTTATAGTCAACATGGCTTGTGCAGACATCCTTCTTGCTCTGACGAATGGACCTTTTACCATTAAATTCACTATCAGTTGGTTTGTCTGGNACACCATTATTCAATTCATTATTCGATTCTTGGTTCGATTCAACATTACATTATTGAAATAAAATTCAAACTTCGAAATTTGATTGGATTATTGATCTGATTTTCATAAAGCCTTCTTCGTATTTCGCTTGTAAACATACTGGTCTTTTGTAATTTCCACAAGTCGATGCATTGCAATCTGCTGTCTGTAAATTTGGTTGCATGGATCTGTTCCTTYTCGTGAGAAAGGWATGACGGMCTCAAAAAGCTCGATARGCTGTGTTGTTTTCTGTCATTATCAGAGTTCGAGATTTGAATTTAATTTTGCATTAATGAACTGAAGTTTTAAAACGAAAAATAAAATGAAAAATCCAATAATGCATTGAATAACGAACTATTCGGGGGGCGCGCTTCATGTCTTTTGGCTGTAAAATACAAATAAGGGTGTTTAATTAATTAAGGTGTTGCACGACGTCKACCGCCAAAACTTTATTGGAAAGCAATTACTAAGTTCACAACGATATGTCGTTGTTATGGCAACTGATAAGATAGCTCGTTTGAGTAGAAATGTTCATCTTTATAAAATGATGAATGGAAGAGCGACTGACAGCAACCCTGCTGTCAAAATCATTCGAAAAATAATTTTCTGTTTTCAATAACTCTTTCGAAAGTGATTCGTAGTTTTTCTACTTTAGTTCTCGTAATCTTCTAATTTATATTTCAAACTTTTCATCTTTATTTGATGTGGAAAATGAAAAGAACATTGTTTGCTTTTGTTGTTTTGACTTTACTTTCTTTATCGTTGGCGTCCAATGGAAGATTTCAAAACTCGAATGTGAAAAATGACACTTTGCAGCGTCAAGGTAAGATCTCAATTGATCTGATCCAATTTAACAAGACTGCAATAATAATTTGTGGTGAATTATTCGCTGAGGTACGAATGTAAAATAAATAAAAAGATTGTCGTTAAAAACATTTGTTAGTGAATCATACATATTTACTTAGTGCAAATAACGATTTAAAAAGCATATTTCATCTTGTCGATCCCGACGTTTTCTTAAATTTGCAGTATCTTGACTATAAATTCCTTTTTTCGTTCAATTTATCGAACTGGGGAAAGTGTTTCACTTTAATTTCGAAAATAAGCACAATGCTCTTCATGTTRAGCTTAGTGTGAAAGCTAAAAATGGGCAGCTTTTCATTCGAGAATGGAGTGAAGATATTGAATTATGAGGAACATCGGATCCACTGTACTTTGGTAGAGCAAATCGGACAACGTTACTTCACCATTAGGTCAAACAGAGTATATTGATTCCAATGAATTCGAAATTGTTCGATGATGACCCTATACAAAGCAATCCCCTTTACAGTGCCATCATTTTACTTTTATCTAGACTATGGACCATTTATGCGAGCACACGAAGTAGACTACTGGACTAAAGTAGCAATCGTCAGTATGACAGTAATTACAACTCTATCTTCATTAATCAGCAACAGCCTCATCATCCACAGTGTTCGAGTCAACCGACACATGCACACAACARCCAACTACTTTATAGTCAACATGGCCTGTGCAGATATTCTTCTTGCTCTAATTGGGGGTCCTTATAACATTAAGTATACTATCGAGTGGTTTGCCTGGTTTCCAGGGCTGCTTGGACTGATCACATGTGATGCTTATACGATTGTACAGTATATAGGAGCTAGTTGTTCAACGTTCAGTCTTGTGGTAATATCATTCGACAGACTGATGGCTGTCAGTTACCCTTTGAAGTACAAAAGCCATTTTTCATCAAGCAAGTACCTTATGATACTAACATGGCTAGTCTCCGTTGGCTTAGCATTTATACCTTTAGGTCAATCAGATGTTGTCACTTTCCCCAGTGAAGACAAAACATATTGTTTCCCCAGGAGCAGGGCTAGTTTTGAAACTACTTCTATCTTAAGTGTTCTACTTCCAATAACTCTCGTCATCATACTCTGTTTTGCTATTGGATACAAGGTGTGGAACAGAAAAGTCCCCGGAGAAGGTGGGCAACAGGCTGTTGAAAGGACATCTAGGAAAGCAACCTACATGGTAATATCAGTTGTTTTGGCTTTTATTGTTGCATGGGCCCCAGTATTGAGCTCTAGCCTTGTATTTCATCAAGACAGGAGTGTGTTTGTTATAGGAATTTTCTGGCCCATAACTTACTCATTCGCATTTCTTAACGGCCTATTTAACATGGCCATCTTCTATAACTTCAGTGAAAACTATCGTAGTGCTTTCAAAAGTTTGTTTAGCAATCATRGATTGATGTTTCAGCGAGCAGCACCTAACAACAGCATGGTTGCCAGSGGATTATCAACGTCGGAAGGGGTAGTCAATGTGGTTGCTATGAGACCAGTGAATAATGACTGARTAAATGATTTTAGAAACAGMAAATGTGCTGATAATGATGCGTYGTTTTTATATCAATGCAAAAGATCCGTAAAAGGACTGTTTGCTCCTCAATAGGAAGGATCTCTTTTTCAATTTGGGCATAGTGAGTTTCAGCAGTATTAAGTGATCTTCATGCGTAGATGATGGGATGTCCATTTTGGAGTAGACAAGCACCCAGGCCTCCTTGTGATGCATCAACCTGTAGGGTTATTTTCTGATCGATGTCAAAGAATTTTAGAACAGGACTGCTGGTTAGTGCAACTTTAATTTTATCAAGTGCACCATSKTGCTCTGGTAACCACGCCCATAGCGTTTCTTTCTTGAGTAGTGATCTTAGTGGAGCTGTAATCTCCGACAAGTTGGGTATGTACTGTGACAGGAAATTTACCATGCCAAGGAGACGTTGTAAATCTTGCTTGTTTTGTGGCTTGGGCATATCTAAAATGGCCTCAATTTTTTCTGGATCAGGGCTGAACCCATTTGCAGAGGTGATGCTGCCTAAGTATTTGACTTCCCTGACTCTCAGCTGCATTTTTTCTTTGTTGAATCTGATATTTCGCTCTCTGGCACGGTTAAGAACTTTGATGAGGGTTATGCTCTTCTCCATCTTTGGCGGCAATGATGATGTCGTCATAGACTGTAAGTACACCAGGAATATCTGAGAAGTTATCATCGACCATTTTTTGAGCTACATCCGATGCTGAGCAGATTCCAAAGGGCATTCTGTTAAATTTGTATCGTCCAAAAGGAGTATTGAACGTACATAAGTAGGATGACGCTTCGTCTAGTTTCTTGTGCCAGTAGCAGTTTGTCATGTCAATCACAGTGAACAGTTCCATGCCACTGAGTCTACTAGAAATTTCTTCAGCTGTTGGTGGATTGTAATATTCTCTCTTGATGGCCTGGTTCAATTCCTTGGGATCTAGACATAGTCTCTCAATGATCCATCTTTTTTTTCAATTATGACTAGGCTGTTGACCCAGTCAGTTGCTCTGTCAACTTTACTGATAATTCCTGACTTTGTAAGGTTTTCCAGCGTTTCTTTTAATCGTGGCATTAGACTCAATGCGATGTTTCTTGGAGGATGTATTGTTGGCTTTGCGTCGCTCTTGAGTTCGATGTGGTATTCTCCGCTGACAAGGCCAACTCCTTTGAAAACATMTTGGTATTGATCGAGTAGACTTGTTTTGGTATGTTGGATTTCACAGACCTTATTTATGCTAATAAGGTTGAGGTCACGGCTTGTCTGTAATCCGATTAATGGCTTGGCGTTGTCAATTTCAACGATGTAGAATTCGCCGCTGACTCGCTTATTATTGTRCTCGATATTCATGTAGCATTTGCCACGAACTGGTACTTGTGCTCCTCCGTAGGCGGTTASTCGAGTGTTTGTCTTCTGAATTGTTGGYTTGGTTTTTAGAGCTGTGTATTCACGATTGGGTATTATATTACATTGAGCGCCCGTGTCGATCTTGAAGCGAAGGCTTTCACCATTGATTTTTAGTGTGCTGAATAAATTTCATTGGCATCTGGCTTAGTGATTTCACCAAGAAAGAGGTCATCGTAGTATTCTTCATCGCTGGATTCAGTGTGATGAACTTCGTGTAATTTTGGCTGCGATTTGTTGAGTCTGCCAGGCTGAKTGAAACACATCTTAGCGAAGTGGTTCTTTCCTTGACACTTCAAGCACGTCTGGCAATATGCTGGACATCGATTGACGAAGTGCTTTGTGCCACAACGTTTACATGGTTTTTCGCCTGGTTGCTGGTTGGTATTCTTTGAAGTATTAGCTTTTGAACTTTGGATAGCAGCAGTTTCGACGGGTTGGTTTGTCAAGTTTTTTACTTGTGCATGGSTGGTTTCGGCTTGTCGAGTGTTAGGTCATTATCTCGTAGAAGCCGTTCTCGTACTGCATTGTTGTCTATTCCACACACGATTCGATCTCTTGGCTGTTTTGAAGGTCTACAAATTCACAGGTCTTTGCTTTGTTTCGTAAATCGATGAGAAAAACATCCAGTGGTCTGCCATTTTGTGAGCATGTGTTGAATTTGTAGCGCTCGTATGTGACATTCTTTTTGGGTGAGCAGTTCTCTTCAAACTTTTGAAGTAATACATCAATGTCATCCTTTTCTTCTTCTGTAAATGAGAATGTGTCGTAGACTTCGAGAATAGCACATTGTGTTTCTCCGTCTTTCTCGGCAGCTCCACTAGCTTTGGAATATAAAACCCATGGTTGTTTCCACTTGCGTCATCGTTCGGCTGCGTTTTCATCGAGAATTAGAGGTTCAAGAGGTTTCATGTGGTCCATGTTGAGTAAATTCTGACACCATGAAGTAGATCCAACTAGAAAAGTGTGTTTATTGCATGTGTTGATCCTACATAACTCAATGTTCGGAGGGGGGGGGCTGGTAAACCCTTAAGGGGCACATATCATTACAATAATTATGATTTGAAGCATTCTGGTACCACTTGCTGTCGTCATCATACTCTGCTTTGCGATTGGATGCAAGATATGGAGTAGAAAAATACCCGGAGAAGGTGAACAACAGGCTGCTGATAGGACATCTAGGAAAGTAACCTACATGATAATATCAGTGGTTTTGGCTTTTATTGTTGCATCACAGGCAACCCAAGCAGAGCATACAAAATTTTTTTTTAATAAAATCATCTTACCTTGATATCATGTGTTCTTGATGTTATTTAACATTGACTGTTTTTATTTCGATCTTTTCAACCGGCGCCATTTTTGAAGTACGCTGCACAGCCCACTTGCAGAAAAGATGCCGAGTTTTCCCTGAGCTGTGCACGTSTTCGGCGCGCCYTTGGGGGATTTCGACAGTTGTACAATTTTCTGCACTCCCCTTAGTAKTCGGGAGTTTTTGAAGTGATTCCATGGAAACTGTCGTCCAATCAGAGGGAGTTTTGCAAGACGGTCAAAGTCCGTGTCCAACTCGGTCGATGAAGGGTTGACSGGATGCAAAAATTSAGTCCGAATAGCGTACAAACATGACGATTTGGCACGGTTGGATTTATAAACCGTTGAAAGTTTGCYCAATTCTGGATAGAAGGATCCTAGAGACATGCCGCTGAGGGTATTTTGGAGGCAAAAGATGGATTTAAGATATTTTTTTCGGCTATTAAAGACGAGTGGTGTGGACGCTCTTTAACCAGCCTTGTAGTCTTTTACTACTGAKGGTGATATTTTTTATAAAATAGGTCTAAATCCCTTCAAAACCACACACAGCAATGTTAAATAACATCAAGAACACATGATATCAAGGTAAGATGATTTTATTAAACAAAATTTTTGTATGCTCTGCTTGGGTTGCCTGTGGTTGCGTGGGCTCCAGTTTTTACCAATAGTTTTCTCTTTTATCATATCAAATCGCATAGTGTGATTGTTTTTGGAGTTCTGTGGCCCATTTTATGCTCATTTATATACGCCGGAAGGGGGTGTGATAAATCTGGGTTGTTTGAGAAAATCTTGACTAATCAGATTCTTTTCAAGAAACAGTAGCTACCAATATATAGATTGTATGACATTGGTAATGATAAGGACATAGTTCCGAAAATGACTTTTCAAATTCTTATCCTAAGACTGTACTAGTTATAGATACTAGATAGCAACTTTATTTAGAGAGGGTAGCACTAAATAGTGAATTAAAACCACTAATAAACTTGTAGTAGTACATACTACAGCTTTGAGAAAATGCTTTCAATTGTTATTGTTCATGAAGATTGCATAATGTTGCGTTAGGATTAGTGAATGGCGTTTTTTAATTACATTTAGGAAATCGAGTATGTTTGCACCGCCGGCGTCATTGTAGACAGCGGGTGATGTCAATACGAATTAATTGTAAATACCATTTCTTTAATTGAAAAACAGCATGTACCTGTATATGAGTATATACCATAATAAAGATCACCAACATCTATGGCGCAGTTAAGTATTCGTAATAAGTGTTCTGGGTTGCGACTATGTAACACAGTAAATAGTGTTCCACGTATTCACCTACTGGTCATCTTCCACTGCCACGGAGATTTTTCGTTTCTAAAGCTCAACACCTCGCAAGATCGAGATTCTTTGTAGAAATGTCTAAAATTATACCTTTATCTTATTTTATCTTAACTTTTCTTGCTTCAACAATGACGTCCAAAGGTGAATCCTCAAGCTCGCGCGTAAATAATCGTTCCACACGATATCAAGGTAAGGAAGGAAAAAAGAAACATGAGATTCGCTCTATTTTGCTATTTTAGCTAGACTTTAGGTGTATTGTAAAAAGATTCGAGGTTAATGTACCAAACATGAGACGTTTACAAAAGCGATGATAATCAGCACGTTGAATACTTATCATAAACTATAACTCGAGAAACAAGAACAGAACCTACCAGATTAGGATCTTGTGGGTCTTAATCAAATCTCAATCTACACGCAAAAACCTATATATCTTGAAAGATTGGTGCTTTTGTCACAAAAGTGAACAATCTGACCCCTTATCCTCCGGACTTAATGTAATAAACATTTCAGCGATAAAAAAAGTTGTGTGATGCTATATAAAGGTTTTTATCTTAATAAGAGATTCACGGGTGAACATATTCGTAATTAAATATTTATTTCCCGGTAATGAGGTCCTTTCAATAAATTGATTGGCGAATTTCCTTCCTAGTCCCTGAAGTCGTCCTTTCCACTTTGGAAAATGTGTTTGGATTCATAGATTATATTTGGTTCAGTGTAAAATAGAAATGAAAGCGTTTACTTTTGCTATTTTGGTGTTGTTTTCTTCATTAATCACATCCAAAGGAGAGTTCGAGAGTTCGYGGGTAAACAATCGTAGCGTACAACAGCATGGTAAGAAAAAACAGAGAGGCTAACACTCTAGTTGCATTTGAATTTATCAACATTATTAACACAATATACAGTGAACGGAATATTTGCTGCTGTCTCAGACTAACCACAAAAAATAAGATTACTCAAAGATTTTAAATATTGAATATGACATTTGGGTTTTAAAGCAAACCTTTCAATTGGTTCGGTTTCTCGAAAGAAAATCAAACAGATTTACTTAAACAAAAACTCTACTTGATCGGAAAACTCATTTGTCTTTCTTTTCATTTAGAGCATGCTCATTTTATGAGAGCGCACGAAGTAGACAGCCTGACCAAAGTGGCGATCCTTTGCCTTGCATCGATTTCAATATTGTCTTCTCTTGTCAGTAACATCATCATCATCCACAGTGTTCGAGTCAACCGACACATGCACACAACAACYAACTACTTTATAGTCAACATGGCKTGTGCAGACATCCTTCTTGTTCTGACTAATGGACCGTTTACAATAAAATTCACMATCAGTTGGTTCGCCTGGTTTCCTGGATATCTAGGACGGATCACATGCATTGGGTATTCGGTATTGGCATTGGGTATTGGCATTTGCTCAGCATTTAGTCTTGTGGTGATATCGTTTGACAGATTGATGGCAGTGAGTCGTCCTCTCAAGTACAAAAGTCACCGTCCATCGACCAAATACATTATAATGCTAACATGGTTAGTCTCACTTGGCTTAGCATCAACATCGATAGGTTCACCAGACTTGGTTACTCTTTCAAATGAAACCAAAGCGTATTGYCTCCCCACGAATGTATCAATAAGTACAAGTGCTACATTTCTAAGTCTTYTGGTTCCACTTGCTTTCGTAATCATACTCTGCTTTGCCATTGGATACAAAATGTGGAAGAGAAAAGTYCCCGGAGAAGGTGGACAACAGGCCGCTTATAGAACATCTAAGAAAGTAACATACATGGTCATATCAGTTGTTTTGGCTTTYATTATAGCGTGGCTTCCAGCAATTATCAGTAGTGCTATATTCAAAGAAAACCACACATTGTTTGTTTTTGGGATTTTATGGCCCATTTCATACTCATTTATCTACCTTAACGGCTCATTTAACTTTGCTATCTACTATATCTTTAGCGARAACTATCGTAATGCATTCAGGGRGTTGTTTAGCAGTTTTTTGTCATTTTGTCCTCGTCGAGCACCTRCTGTCACCATTGGTGAGACAGCGCCACCAGTGGTAGGGGAAGTGACTATGGTTTCTTTAAGACCAAGATAATATTGATTACTTTTCATAATGAACAGGCAGGCAGGTATAAATGTTGTCAGGTATTTCTATTCATTGTTCCGAGATAAAGTACATAATGTTTCTAAGACTTTTGATATGCATGTTAAGAAAAAAAACAACTAGAATTTTGTAATATATGTCTTAATGTAGAATTGTATAGAGATGTATGGTAAAATCTGGAAATAATACCTGGGCATGCATGAACAACTTAATGGCACAAAACCTAAGAACTGTCAGGAGTGCAGTCTGATGTATTCAAAGTCGAAACAGTTGGTTATCAGAAATTATTATCTATTAAGCAGATGGCATCAGGACCAATCAATTGTAATTAACATTTCAGAAATTAAAAAATTGTGTGCTGCTATATAAAGGAGTATATCTTGATAAAAGATTGATGTGCCGTAATTGAACGTATTTGTATAGGAAGGCCGAAGTGCCGAAACGTCCAATAAACAGAGTTATTAAAGCTTCAAGTTGGTGTTTTGTTCTATTTTATTCTACTTTTGTATAATGAAATATGTATATTCTTGTGTGATGACATCATTTTAGTAAATTGATGGACGAAGTTTCTTCGCACGGTGTTCCTGAAGTCGTTTAATTTCTTCCCACTTTGGAAAATGTGCTTTAATTTATAGATTCTATTTGCTGACGTGTTATATAGAAATGAAAGCATTTGTTTTTGTTATTTTGGTGTTGTTTTCTTCATTAATGACATCGAAAGGAGAATTCGAGAGTTCGCGGGTAAACAATCGTAGCGTACAACAGCATGGTAAGAAAAAACAGAGGCCAACACTCTTATTGCATTTGAATTTACCAACATGATTAATGGAAAACGCATTTGTSTTTCTTTTCATTTAGAGTATGGGCATTTGATGAGAGAGCACGAAGTAGACAGCCTGACAAAAGTGGTGATCCTTTGCCTTGCATCGATTTCAATATTGTCTTCCCTTGTCAGTAACATTATCATCATCCACAGTGTTCGAGTCAACCGACACATGCACACAACAACCAACTACTTTATAGTCAACATGGCTTGTGCAGACATCCTTCTTGCTCTGACGAATGGACCTTTTACCATTAAATTCACTATCAGTTGGTTTGTCTGGTTTCCTGGACATCTAGGACGGATCACGTGCAT